TGTTGATCTTTTGTCCTTTTTTGCTCTTTGTTTGGGAGTCTTTTTTGTTCTATCTTTGGTTGCAGGTGGAGCTCTCCCCAAGATGTAGTGAGTCTCTTCAGCCCAAACTACTTAAGGCAGCCGAAGAAAAGTGGTTGGACTGTGTGGAAATTAGTTAGGGCAGTGGTGGTGTGGACTATTTGGGAGGAAAGGAATGCAAGGATATTTAATGATAAGTACATGCCTAAAGAAGAAATTGTGGAGATTGTAAAAATTCTTGAGCTCTTTCAAAAGTCCTCAATGACTGATATAGTAAGGACATGGAATGAACTAGCGCACTCCTCTAAATTGGAAGAAAGAAAGTAGATGGAATTGAAGCCCCTAGGTACCAACAAAATTAAGCTAAATTTTGATGGAAGCTATATAGGAATCCTGGGTTTGGTAGGCATTGGTGGTGTGTTTAGAGATACTTCAAGTATTGGCAATTTAGGTCCTTTGGGGGTGGGTGAGTCTCAAAAGGCTGAGTTGTTAGCACTTCTACATGGTCTAAAATTTGCAAGCTGATTTAAAAAACTTGGAGGTTGAAGGGGACTCACAATTAGTGATCTCTTGGGTTACTGATAGGGGCAATGTTCCTTTGATTTATAGATACTCTCTAAGGGATATTAAAGCTTGGAAAGGGAGCTAAATGCCTCTTTTACTTGGATTAGGACTGCCAATGGGATCACCGACTCTTTTGCTAAATAGAGGGTCTACAAGCAACAACTATTTTAGGCTGTTTTGTAATATGTTGTTGGGCATAGATTGTCTTTTCTGTTTTTCTGTAACATGTTTCAATCAGTTATGAATAAAATTCATCTTCTTGTTGATCAAAAGAAAAGGAAACCTTAACCTGCTTCATTCCTAGTTTTTCTGTTTTTCTTGCTGATCATTGCCCTATTTAGTTAGGACAAGAATCCTTAGGTTCTAGACCTAGACTCTTTAGGTTTGAGAATGTGGTGGAGAGAAGAGCTAACGGGGTGAAGTGGAAAGGAGTTAGATTTCATAAAAAAACTGAGAGATTTGATGACAAAATTAGAAGTCTGGAATAAGGATCAGTTTGGAAGAATAGAGGACTTAATTCTTCCTTATTGATTCTGATTGTGGAATTGAATGGGAAAGAATCCCAAAGGACTATGAATGCACAAGAACGTGAATTGGAGTGATGATTAAAGGAGTTAGAAGAGGTCTTGTTGTGAGAAGAGATATTGTGGAGGCAAAAATCAAGATATAAATATTCATCAAAAAAAAATCAAGATATAAATAAATCAAGGAAGGAGATGGGGACACAAAATTGTTTCACGTTATGGCCAATGGGAGGAGGAAAAATTTTGTAGCATAGCTTGAGATTGATGGAGAGGAAATCTCTTCTCAAGAAGAGATAACCAGGCGTTTTGTAGATCATTTCAAGTCAATTTTGAGAAGGCCCCTTAGCTATTGGGTGGAAGTGGATGGTCTGGGCTGGCTAAGTCTATCTGAGAGTGATAGAGATGGTTGGAAAGAAAATTCGAGGAGGAAATCGGACAAGCAATTTTCTTAATGGATAGATCTAAGGCTCTAGGGCTGGATGGATTTACGATGACCTTTTATCAAGATTGTTGGGATATAGTTAAAAGAGACTTATTTGAGGTTTTTAGAGAGTTTGAGGATAATTTTGTTGTTAGCCCTGGAGTTATTGCCACTTTTATAGCTCTTGTTCCCAAGAAGACAGTTGCTAAACATCCTAAGGATTTCAGACCAATCAGCTTGATGACTAGTATTTACAAAATTTTGGCAAAGGTTTTATCCTTGAGGGTCAAAGCTGTACTCCCCTCTCTAATTAGTCAAGCTCAAGGTGCTTTTGTACAAGGTAGACAAATTATAGATCAATTTGATAGAAAATGAATGTGTGAAGGAGATGAAGAGATCAAGTAATAAAGGCTTTGTCTGCAAATTGGATCTTGAAAAAGCCTACGATTTGGTGGATTGGAGTTTCCTTTTAGAGCTGTTAAGGAAGTGTGGGTTTCGGGAAAGATGGTGCAATCGGATTAAGTGTTGCCTCACTTCTTGCCATTATTCCATTCTAGTCAATGGGGTAGTTAAGGACTTCTTCCTAGCATTTAGGGGGAAGACCATAAGTGGGTGTAGTATAGGAAGAAATAGAGTTCCAGTGACCCATCTTCATTTTGCAGATGACACTATAATATTTTGTTAAGGGAATGATTTAAGGAAGGTAAGGAACCTTAAGAATTTAATAAAATCTTTTGAAAGTGCCTCAATTCTAAAAATTAATTTCAAAAAGTGTTGTGTGGTTGGAATTAATTTGGATAATTCGGAATTGGAGTCTATTATAGAGTGCTTAGAGTGTTCCACCTTGTCTGGGCCCCTAACTTATTTAGGACTACCCCTAGGAGCTAACCCAAAGGAGAGTCGGTTTTGGAACCTTGTTGTGGAAAAGTTTGGAAAAAAGTTGGCAACTTGGAAAAAGAATTATATTTCCCTGGGGGGTAGAGTGACTTAACTTGCTGGTTAACTTTTTGTCTGTCTTTAAGATTACTGCCAGGGAAGCTAAGAAGATAGAGTAGATGATGAGGGATTTTTTGTGGGAGCTGAGGCAAGAGAAGAAGGATCATTTGATTAGGTGGGAGGTGTGGTTAGTCGATGTAAGGAAGAAGGAGGTCTAGGATTAGGGAATCTTGCTCATAAGAATGATGCTCTTCTAGGGAAGTGGTTGTGGATGGCCTTTAGAGAGGGAGAGGTTGTGGCATGAGGTGGTGGCTAGTACCCATGGCTGTTCCGGAAATGGTTGGGATGGAAAGGTATCTAGAAGGGCTACTCTTGCAATACCTTGGAAGGCAATTCATGGCATCCTCCCTAAGTTCCTCCGCCTAGTAAGATATGATGCTTGCTTTGGGACTCGTTTATCTTCTGAGAAGACATTTGGGTGGGGCAATCTGCCCGAATTGCCCCTCGAGGACTTTTCCCCCTCACTTTTCTCTATTTCCCTTTATAAAAAAGAGCTCGTGTCTACCTTTCTTTTATCCCTGGTTACTCCCTTATCTACAAACTGGGACTTTGTCTCCCGTAGAGGGTTGAGGGATCATGAATCATTTTTTGTGTTTTGCTCTTTAAGTCTCTTTGCTCTAGTTCTTCTCCTTGGTATTCCCAATAAAAGAAGAAAAGACCTTTCTTGTGTTTATCCCCTAACGGTGTACTCCATGCAAAGCATAGAATGAGGATTGTTACCACTTACTGATTTCTTGTTCTTTTGCTGCAGTCATTTGGAATTGGGTATTTGATCTGTTTGGATGCAGGTGGAACTTGTCAGCTGAGGTGAATTTGTTGTTTTTTTCCATTTACCTTTGAGTGGCCCATGAAAAGAGGGGGACTTATGTTGAAATGTATAAGAGTAGCTCTCCTATGGACTATTTGGGAAGAAAGGAATGCCAGAATATTTTAGGAGAAGGAAAGAACCCTTCTTGAAGTCAAGGAGTGCATTTTGACAAGGGCTATTATGTGGCTGAAATCCTTAAAACTCTTTGAAAATTACTCCTTCGATGATATAAGGAGGAACTGGTCTGTAGTGGCGTTTGCTTTTTCTAAGAAGCTCAGAATGCAAGCAATTTGGACTCCTCCTATGGAGGGTTTTGTTAAGCTGAATTTTGATGGGAGTAGTCAAGGCAATCCAAGACTGTCTGGCATTGGTGGTTTTCTGAGAAATGAGGAGAGTAACATTCTCTCTCTTTGTATTGGGCTTCTCTGTAATTTTTCTTGGTTTTGTATAATCAACTAAAGGGTAGATTGAGTCCTCCATCTCTCCTTTTTAAATGGAGGTAGCATCTCGTGCCTCTCCATGAGTTGTATCTTGTTTGGCTATGATTTAATGAATCTAATTATTCAACAATAAAAAAAACAAAGGAAAAGAAACCTTAATGAGCACAAAATATCTTTAATTGTTTGTAGTGATGGTTGGAAGGTTTCTTATTATGCCTTGTTTCCTTTGCATGTGTCTGTCTGAACTAGTATTGTTGATATAAAGTAGTTTCAACTTTCAAGGCTCCAAGTCTTCATGATTTCCATGTATATTAGTGAAGACCGACTGCCAATCTACTATCAGTGCAATAATCTGATAGCAAACTAGGCCCATTGATTAATCACAAGATTTCATCTCCACTGTATTTATGTATTACCCGTATTGCACACAATATGTATGACATCTGATATTTCATGGTCACTTAACTATAAATTTTGGAATGAATACTTTGAGAGTATATAAAATGGTATATTTTAATCCTTTAACAAATGATACAATTATTTTTTTTGTGGATGTTGGATGTTCTATCAAACTTGGAAACAATATAAAATATTGGAAATGATATTTAGCCTGAAAAAACCTAATGTTCTTGTAACCATACTGGTTCCCTCAATCTCAAGAAATAGAGCATCTATCCTCATTTTTTATGTTCATGTCCATGCCTGTATCCATGTCTTTGGAATAATGCTTTTAGAATATATATAAAATGGTGTATTTTAAGCCTTTAACAAATCATACCATTTATTTTTATAGATGTTGAAGTTCTGTTAAATTTGGAAAAGTTATAAAATATTGGAAATAATATCTACCAGGAAAAGAAAACATAATATTCTTGTAACCATACTGGTTCCCCAGATCTCAAGAAATAGATCCTCTCTTTTCATGTTCATGTCCATATATCTATCCATTTCTCTGGATCTCAGATTGGAAGAGACCATTAAACTAATTTTTAGCACTTAAGCCATTGATCTTTGTGAATACTGTTTCTTCATACGATCATGCCTCTCTTAAGAAAGCCACCACTTTGAAACTCCAAAGAGCACATTTGTTCTCTTCACCTAATTTTTTTTTCTCTTTTAATCATTTATTTTTGCGTTTATGATCTTTACCATGTTCAAAAGAACATAAAAGTTTCTAATTTTCTGTAGTATGCTTTATTTTGAGTTTTCATTTTTGTCTTAAACTACAGGTATTGCACTGGAGGAATAAGGTGTGAGATGGCATCATCCTATATCAGGTCAAAAGGTGTTGGTTTTGAGAATGTCTTTCAGGTAAACTTCTGTCAGAAAGATTTATGCTTTGATATTTGTTTGGTGCTTTTTAAAGGTTCATGTATAATTTTCCTTACTGCGCATGAAGAGATTGGAGAATAGATATTGGACAACCAATGAATGGTGAATTTTTTGTTTACATTATGTATTCTATTCTAAAGAGTGAGAGCTATCATCATCATCATCATCATCCGTGCCTCATCTCAACTATATGGGGTTGGCTACATGAATCATGTTTCACCAATCTGTTCTATTTAAAGCCATATCCACAGTTAAATTATTAGTGATTAAATCATTTCTTACTACTTCTACCCATGTCCATTTTGGTCTACCACTAGCCCTTTTAGCCCCTTCAACTTGTAACAAATCATTTCTTCTAACAGGTGCTTTTGATGGTCTAACCACCATATGCATGTGACTGAGCCAAATGTTAAGGGGTTTTCTATTTTTTGTACATTTTTAGTTTTTTTAGGCAGCAAGGGTACTCAGATTGACTAAAAAAATCCTTGTGCCAACTATATTGGGTAGGAAGAGTATTTTTGTTGTTTTACCTTATAATGTGGTATGGTTATTCTTAGGAGTTGTTTTTCTGGTCATTATGTGGTTAAATTTCATGTCTTTTTTTAAGAGAAGGTAAAAGATTGATATATTAATATGAACAAAAGGTACAACAAGATGATGTATTCACTACTCAGGGACCAAAAAAACCTATCCCCTCTGACCTTGACCCCCACCCTGCTTTACAGAAAGAACTCAAAAGAAGGGCCCAATTGAGTGGATCCCTATTATGGTGGGCCGGAGAAGGCTTTTCAAATAAATGACTTAAAGTTGGGCTCCTATAGTCTTGAGCCCAAGGCCCATTATAAGACAAATGGGCCGAGGGACTTGTTAAATAAGCACGTGACTGGGAGGAGGGATGAGTTGATAGACGAGATAAAGCGTCTATCTTCTTCAACCCCGAACCCTTCCTCTCGACCGAACAGTTCAGG